CGGGAGGGGCCTGGCCCCGCCAGCGCTTCCCACACCCCCGCGGCCGGGAAGCTGGGCCCGGCCCGGCCCTGCCGCCCGGAGCTGTGCGCACCCCTCCGGCCTAGCTTAGGACCGTCTTTCCTCACGCACGGCTTGGGAGGGAGATATAAAAGCTTTCTCTACAAACCGCCCCTCTATATACACATGCTATGCACACATACATCTATCCATATACACGCACATACACCTTTGTACACCCCCCTATCTATGTGTATACACGCACATCCCTCAGAGTCTCTCTCTCTCCCTCCCCTTACCTATATACATACACATCTCTTATCTACACTCACCTCTCTCTTTCTCTATATATGTAGGCACCCCTCCTCTCTCTCTCTATATAGACACACATGCCTCTCTCTATACACACGTCTCTATATTTACGCACATAAATATACACACCTCTATCTATGCGCGCACACACACCCTTCTATCTACATACATACCCCTCTACACACACACACACACACACACCTCTCTCTCTATATATATACACACCTCTATACACACACTATATAATAAGAGCTCATACCATGCACACACACATTTATTGCTTGTTCCCTTTTATTTTTAGGGCCAAGGCTCCAACTGCTGGAGCAAAGGTTAGACAAATCGGCGTGGGTATGGCCAGCTTGCAAGGAATCAATCTGCCTTTCGAGAGCCCTTTCACTTAGAGGACGACTCCCAGGGGCTTTCAGAAAATGGGATTAGTAGTAAAAGGAAAGAAAAAAAAAAAGGCTGAGCCACAAAAAGTGGCGGTTCAGCAAATGAAAAATATAGGGCTTTAGAGGGACTTTCAAGCTGCTAGCAGACATTGTGTTCCTGACACCCACATGTAAATGTTTCAGGCAATTTTAGACCAAAAGAGAAAAATACAAAAAAACAAACCTAAGTGACAATGATTCAATACAGGAGAAGAAGAAAAGTAACCTGCAGCCACACATTTAGAAGCTGCACAATCCCAGACATAGACCTTTCTTAGCTGGCTACTTTTAAAAATAGGATCCAGGTTATTTGAAAACACCACTTCTCCAAATAAAATGCACCCCTCAAAGTGAGCTGTTGAGGGCAGGCTGGGAAAGGGAAGGAGATGATTACAGTGCAGCAAAACGAGGAAGAACAGCAGAAAAATATAAGTCTCTGTTCTCACAATAATGCATTGTTGATGGTGACTTGACCATCAAAAACTAGAGTTAATGCTAATCAGCTGTTTTACTATCAATATCTGGTCTTCACAATTAGTTTAAAAACAGGCTTTGTAGGAGCTCATTAGTGCTAATCATTGCAAGGACCTGACCTGACTCCACAGGGTATATTCTCCCCTTGCTCAGTACATTAAATTCCCATTAATGTTAGTGGGAGTGGTACACATGTAATGAACCAGCATGAAGATGAAGCCCTAAGGCTTATTCCATCATTAGAGTCCAACATGTGCATCCCACAAAAGTGCTTAGAGTGTAAGTCAAGCTTCCTGAGATTTGAAACGTTCTGCTGATGACCTATTGGATTCTGTGACATCCTAAGAAACACACCTATCCACATCCCTGTGTCTCCTGCCCTCCAGATCATGCAGTTTCACCAAAGAGTAAATACCAGTAAATCCCTGGAATAAATTTGGAAGTGCACAATCCACAGAGGGAGGAGTGATTATAAAAAACAAAGTTTTTTGCAAAGCTGCTCAGGTGCCATATGCAGGTGAAGTGGGCAGTGACTGCATGACAGCTCCTGTGAGTTAAACTCAGGACCTTCAGATCTAAATCATATATCTCCACCATGTGACTGAAAGGAGTAGCTTTATTTGTTGGTAGTAACAGGTGGTTGGTGGCTGTGATCTAACTGTAACAGAAGAATGCTATCCTGTTCAGTGGTGAATTTACCTCTGGTATTGAGCAGATTCTAGGGAGAGGTTGTTGGTATAACTCGGGTGGGCAAAATGTGGCCTGCAGGCCGAATATGGCCCACCAGGCCATTCTGTCCAGCCCACAGGGCCCCTAACATTTTAGAAAATTTATATTTATCTGCCCCTGGCTGCCTGTCATGCAGCCCTCGATGGCTTGCCAAACCTCAGTAAGCTGTCCTCTGCCTGAAATAATTGCCCGCTCCTGGTATAACTTGTTCCCCAAGGAATGCAGAAGTTGTAGAGCACAAGTAACTGCAGGGAAGAGTATTCTGTAGTGAGTTTCAGTAGAAGGTTACAATGCTGTTCCAGGTCACTATAGCAGAACTTTCCCTTGCTCCCCAGACAGCACACTCCCATTTCAGGACTCATCCAAAATGCATGTTACTGTAAATGATAAATCAAGGATCACTTAGTGTATGCTGAAACTACAAAGCAGTATTATGCCACAATACATGATCTAGCTCATGGTGTGGAACCAGTATAGATGTATTAGTCTGGTGCTCTGCCCAGGTTAACTATCCCTGTTCCTCAGCAGCAGTAACTAGCTCATGTGAACCACCACAGCAGTGTAGCTATAATACTTTGATACCTCTTTATGCCACTGCTTTATGCCATAAAAAAGGCAGAAAGTAAGGCAGAGTAGCACCTTCAAGAAGAACTGGTTCAGAGAGGCACAAGCTTTTGTAGGCAACAGTTCATGCCTCTCTGAAGCAGTTAGTTTCTAAGGTCTCCTATCCATGTGCACAGAGCCTGCTCCAATGCACTGGAAATCCAGCATGTCGGAGCAGACTCAATTAACTGAATCTGCTGGATCACAGAAACTGAAATGCTCTGGCAGCCTTCCACATCACGTGTCAGCGTCGCCATGTGTCTCCACACTGAAAAAATGGCAGCGGGATGCTTTGAAATAAAACATATTTGATGAGCTTTAGTTCAAAGCATCCCGCCGCCATTTTTTCAGTGTAGTGATGCCAATACACATGACACTCAGGAGCTTTTAATTAGTGCAGCATGCTAATTAATGCTCCCGGCGCCATGTCCCACAGCATGTGTAAAAATATCCTAAAGTACCATCCTGCCCTACCTTCAGCCTAATTTCAGATTAACACAGCTAACCAGCTCTCTCCATTTGCCATAAAGATATACCTTTTGCTACTTAAGTTTTGCAGTAAATATTCCTTGCTTTTTCCAAAAGTAACTTCTGATGATCTTGATTTGGTTTGATGTTCTGATGATCTGATGTTGTTTGAAAACACAATTCTCTAAGCAAGGCTAAGTACTGGTGTTTGACAACAGGGCTCTGCACTTCTGTGATAATTGTGAGTGAAGTTTTATCTCATGGCCTAATGTAAAAGAGCTATGGGAAACACTTACTTTTCTTCTATGATCAAGAGGATGGACCCAGTATGATATTTAAAAGAAGGGTTGACCCTGGTTCCTGTGATCATTAGAAAAATTTCTCGCAGGTCGCTGTTACATGTTTGCACAATGTGTATTATCTCCCTTTCTGGTGGCTGGCCAACAGAAAATCACAAAACCATACTCTACTATTTTTCCATGTTAAAGGAGCTAGTCTTTCACTGAAGCAGAAAAAGTCTGTGATAAGAAGCTGTAGAGATCTGTGATAAGGTTTTATGTTCAAATCCTGCTGATGAGCTATCCTTGAAGTTGTTATAGCTACTCACAGCCAGAAATTATGATTACTGACTTTGGGTTTTGGAATAATCCAGGAAGTATTTCTTGTTACAAACTTTGGGAGGCAGTGTTACCTAATTGAGAGAGCACCGGGATTCAGGAGACACATAGGTCAACCCTGACACTGGTCTACTAGGTGACCTTGGGCAAGTTGCTTTACCCCTCTCTGCTTAATTTTTCTCATCCGTGCAATGGAGAGAACAATCCTTATCTCTTTTATAAAATACAAATAAAAAGTTACGTAGGAACTAGGCATATGACTACCCAATCTCATCCAGTGGCAGGCAGAGACACCTGAGCTGATTCTAAGGGCTCAGTCAGGCACAGTGCCATACTAATAACCATGGAGACTAACAGGATGGGAAGGACAAACCTCTCCCTTGCAATGAAACATACGACCAGCCCCAGGTGTTTTCAATATTATACTAAGTAACTATGCTAGAGCATTCAACTAATTGGGTGTGGGAAGAATTGAACTGTTTGAGTCTTTATTGTTTGGGCTCTGTCTAGATTAGTGCTGCTCAAGCTTTTTTCCTGGTGGGCCAGATGGGCAGTGCCTAGTCTGCCTGCACGTGGGAGCTGACTGGTGGTTCCAATATGGCTGGTGTAGTAGGGGCCCACCCAGCTGCACAGAGCAGAGTGGAGGGGCAACCCAGCCCCAACAGCAGGTAAGGGGTCTTGCCATGCCCTCAACCCAACTTTTGTCACCGTTCCTGACTGTAGTGCAGATATACTCCTAATTTAAGCTATCTTCAGTCAATACTGAGTACTGCAGAAAAACATGATGATTGAGAAATGACACTTGCACGAGTCAAATAGCTGTAGAAAAGCACCTTGTGGTTTAACTGGAACACAGACATCCTTAAACTAAGCCTAGGGGACTTCTGAAAGCAGAGAACACAAGTGAAAAGAGTACTTTTGAATGGAAGAAGAATGCAAAAAATAGTTGGAGTGATGTTGGAGTTGTGGAAATTGTTCTCTGACTTGAGATACATACATTCATTCATAGGAGACTTGACTGTTTTATAACAGTAGATTTAATAGGAACATCCTCCTAGAAAAGATGCATGAACAGTGCTAATGATATTTTTGGGTGGTTCCTGGAGCTCTTAACCCTTAGATTGCCCACACATGAAGACTGAAACTGGTTTTAAGCATT